TTGACACTCCCTCCCAGCTTAGTGTCATCTGCATCTAGCTCATGTAATGTACATCTGTTTCCTTAAATAAATTTGCTATACTTTGTACTTTTGTAACTTGTTTTTCCTGCAGAACTGCTTCCATATATATGTGAAAGCAAATAGTCTTGTTACAGCTGACAATGACTGATACCATTATGGCCGAGTTTTGCCGTCATTAGGCAGTATTAATTCTTTTACCATTTTGTCTGTGATGCCTCAAGTGTTATCTGTGCTCACATACAAGATTTTAAGAAGAAAATCATCAGGCATCTAACCCAGACCATATTCTTTTCCTGTGTGGATGTCCTACGCTTGTATAACAAATCTTAAAGAAGACGCAGTAATTAGCAGGGAAGGTGTTGTTTTACAGTTTTTGTCTGACTGAAGATACTTGACAAGCAACACCTGAATGGCAGAAAAAAATTTTGAAGTGGTTTCTTTCCTGCCTGCACTGTGTCCTTACCGGGTTTGATCTTAAAGTAACAACTTTGCTTGCTTGTGCTGTTCCATGTGGGTCTTTCTAGTCTCGAGTGATGGCCAGTTTCCTTCCTTCCCATGCAAACTTACAGTATTTTAACAGAAACACTAAGAGTTAAAGAATATAATAACGCATTGCATTTTTCAAATCCCCTCGGTGGACCCACTGTTTAAAAAGACATCTCAGACTTCTAGTCTGAGCTTAGGAAAAGTTCCTTATGCACTACATGTTTACCTTTTTTGGATAAGGTATGTTTACCTTTTGTAGATAAAGCTTTTGTGGCATCTCTGTGGTGATGGTCTTAAATTCAGGTTGATAAAATGAGCAAGTTTTTGCTTTAATGGAGCTATAGTTTTTGTAAAAAGAGTTTCCTTTACTAACAAATTCTTGGTTTATGGGAATACTAAGGACAGTGCAACATGCAGTAAAAGCTGATTACTACGCAAGACGTGCGGTCTGAAAAGCAAACCACAATCTTAGTAGAGAACTGGATTCCTCTTACTTCTCAGAGAGATAATTCAAAGCATGAAGTTTCACAAGAGCTCCTCTTTGAATATTTCATGTATGCCTGAAAGGATTACTGAAACTTTAAGTTCAGCTCACATGTATGATTGACAAATGTTTTGGTAGTTATTTATCACTAACAAAATTTAAATGAGTTTTGTGCAACTGCAATAGTTACACTAACCAGGAAAACCAGTCCTGACTTACAAAAATTGCTGACTAAGTAATTGCTGACTAAATGCTAATTCACATTGGGATTGTGTAGTATGTATAGAAAGAAGACCCCATTGGAAGATTTCAGTGCAAATTCCCTATGTTTAGAAAGAAATAATCAGATTATTGTACCAGCATACAGTTAAGTTATGGTAGAGATTTCTGGCTTTGATATTTTTCATCAGTACAGGTTATTTTTTTTTCCTATCAATTTTCTTTAGGCCAGTACATGGACTTATTTTCCTTTTCAAGTGGCAGCCTGGAGAGGAACCAGCAGGTTCTGTTGTTCAGGATTCCAGACTGGATACAATATTTTTTGCAAAACAGGTATGTCAAGTTCTGCATTTTTCTTAGATATGTCATGGAACATGGGGTTTAGTACTAAAATATACACTATCTTTTTGTTAATATGTACACAAAAATTAACATTTTACAAGGTGAAATTACTTTAATGTTGTGTGAGAGTAGGAACTGTGTATTAAATGATCGTAACAAAGCAAATCAGATTGATCTGTCAAGTCAGACAGAAAATCAACAGGTATGGAAGAATAAAGCTTTTATTTATTTGTCAGCCCTCTCCTACAAGACTGACTCGCTCTTCTGTGCAGTAAGGAATTACTTGGTACATGTTCTCAGCAGAATGAGCAAATTATTTTTTTGAAACCACTTTCAACAAATTCTAGGAAGAAATGTTTATTTTGGTCCAGTTCTTGTTTCTTGTGTTTCTCAAATACTCTGCAGCCAAGACAGTACAACTATAGGGTAATATTTTCCTTTAAGAGTTTGCAGACCATTTTGGCACGAAAGTTTTAAGCATTTAAATTATGAAGGTGAGTTTAAACTAGAAATTACGGAAAAAATTGTTTTGCTCATGTGTTTAATTAAATACCAAGTAGTACTGACATTTTTGTTAGCTTTGGCAGGCTGCTGTGAGCATTGTTTGCAAACAAGAAAAGGAAGAGACAAGTAATCAGAATGAAAGTAGGAGTATTTAATAAATGCTTTTAGCTCTTTTCAAGACCTGCCTCTGAAACAGGGAGAAATGTAACAGTTCAAACAAGAAGTGTAACCCTACATATATTAATTACAAAGCATTCACATCAAAGGGCAAATTGTTAGTCTTTCTCTGAAGACTGGCACATAGACTGGTTGATGGGGATTTTGTTTGGTTTTGTCCTGTGGTTTGGTCGTTTGTTTTTTTTCCATAAATGCCAAAGTGTTTTGCATGTAAATTTCAGGAATAAATACTTCTCCACATGCTCCTAGCTACAAGTATGGAATGGAAACATTAGGCATATATGTAGCTCTCCTGGCTACTCTGCACATGTGCTTCTGTTGTGCAGGTAACCATCTTATGTTTGTTCCTTTTAAAATCACCTTACTCTTCCATGCTATTGGGGATGACTTTACTTCTTGGTCTTTTTTAATACTGTTGCCTTCATTCTTACCCTGCTCGAGTCCTGCCAGCACTCTTGTCACACAACAATCGGCAGTGGTTTGCCAAATATCTTTTAGGTTGACAGGTCTGGTAGATGCTGGTTTAGGTTGCGATTTCTACCGAGTTAGTGATCGGTAGGCTGTGGCTACAGAATAGCCCTGATGCAAAGAACCTCACGGAAAATCCTTGATGTGACTCTCAAAGGGTAGTTATGTGGCAGGAGGAAATTACTGTGATGTGAATCTAGAGAGGTGTTTTGATCTTTTTTAAGATGAAGACAGATTTGCCCTCATTCAAGGGATTTCATCTTTCTTGTTTCTTGTGATGATGTTTTCCTGGAAGTGCTGTTCTTGTGGGCACTGGAAAACTTGAAGGCATTTGTCTGCTTGCTCCACTTCTTTCACCTTTTTTCCCATTCTTCATGTCTCTTTGAAGCGTGACACTGTGTTTAAAAGCAAGTAGCTAAGAGGAGCTTTGGGCTTTAAGTTGGTGTTGCAGAATGTACATTAGAAAATTTGGATAGAAAATTTGGATAATGTTAGACTTGCTAACAAACCCAGAAAATTAAAGGCTAATAATAAAAGGCTATTTTGTAGTTGTCTTTAAAGCATTCATGTTTTACTATTTTCTTAAGCCTGAAGCCTCTTTGTGGAGGTGTAGGAACATTCTAATCTTCTTGCTCTTTCTCCTGCTTAAGGAGGGTGTGCTGGAGTGAATTTATGAATTTCATTAATTTTAGCATGGAAAGCAATTTCTAGAAGTGTTTGCTATTTTAAAATAGTAGTACCTAGTTATGCCACTTAATGGCATGGAACGTATGTTTCAAAAGTGGCTTGTAAAGAGTATAAAATCAGAGTATCTTTTTCGTGTTTCACTATTGTCTGTTAGTCAAGTGCAGTGGCTTAGCAAAACCAGAACATTTCTTGTAGGCCTATATGCTTGTGTTCCATGTTGCTTCAGTTTTGCCTGAACTGAGGTCTCCTGACTGAACAACTAGTGAAATAGTCACAAAGAAATTAAAATTGAAAATCAATAGACAAATCAAACTCTTTTTGCTATTGGGGGGGATTGGTAACACCAATTTAGCTCAAAATGGTTGGAGGACTGGTAATGTTTCCTCAGGTAAGTGGCTGGTCTGATGATGACAGCAAGATGTCTTGGTCCTCCCGGCCTGTCTCCTTTCAGCTTGCTCCTTCTGTTCCTCTCCTGCAATGGCTCAGCTGCTTCTTGAACTCCCATGAGCCGGTGCAGCTTATTAGCCAGCAGTGTCCTCTAGATTCTCTCGGAATATTTTCTGGGCTGGTCTTCTGCTACTTTACGAGATGTATTTGTTCAGTGAGTCTGTACAGGCCAAAGCTGGTAAGAGGTAAGTTTCAGGAGATGGGAGTTTCTCTGTAGTAGTGCTGAGGGTAGTATTTCTTGAAACCACAGTCTGTGAATCCTCCTGAGTCACCCAGGAGCACAAGACAAGACAAGCATTAATGTTAAATATTTCTATTGTAAGATAGCAACTCCTCCCAGCTATTATGAAACTGGGCTCACATGCCCTTTTTTATTCTTACTGTACATGTTTTCAGTTTGGTTTTATTCTTTCAAGAATCTTTTTCGAGGCCTTTTTTTTCCCCTTTTTTAATTAATTGCAGAACTGATGAGTAAAATAATTGTTCGTTTGTAGGCTGGAACCCCAGAACAAATAGATTTGTTTTCTGGGTTAGCAAACTTTTTACGATGGTTAAGATCATTGGTCTGTTGATCTGTGTTTTCAAAACTGACATGACACCGGAGCCCTAAAAATCTCCAGAGGTCTTTGGCTTTATTTCCCATACATTTTCTTTTTTTAAATGTTACCTTCCCATACTTCTTTTTCTTTTAAATGTTACCACCGAAAGGGATCTTTTACAATCCCTTGTACTGCAGAGGAGTTTTGAGGTATCATTCTGAATCCTGTATGAGCAAGACTAAGTAACTAATATGTAACAACAATTTAGTGTGGGAGATAAAAGATGCTATTACAACACAGCTCCATTTCTGTTAATTGTTTCATCTTAAAAATGCTTTCATTTTGGGGGGAAGGAAACTAGTTAGATGTAAAGAGCTACAGCTCTCAAACTGTGTCTAGCAAAAGATTTTTAAAATTGTGTTAGGAAACTCAATTTTGACAAGAAGCTTGTACGTGCTCGCTCTTTGTTCTTAGCTGCTTTCAACACAGCGTTGTAGCTGAATTCCAAATGACAACTGGATCTTGTTCGAAGTTAAATCATGAGTGTGTTGGGGGGATGAGTTTTATGTGCATGCGTATTAAAGGAATTCTTTTAATGGTCAGTTTTATGTACACTCATGTTAAATTTGGCCTCCCTGTTATGCCTAGGTATGATTTGGTCCTCTATTTGAGGCCACAGAACTCTGGATGATCTTACATACCCTTTGAGCTAGGATACCTAGGCACAATGAGGTGAGTTAAGGATACAATTTCAGCCTTAACTCTGAATTTCCTGATTCTGTGTTGCTTAAGTAGGCCCTTGCTGTTATTTGTACCCACACTGGCTACACAGCTGTACCACTGACCTATTCAGCTGCCTTCACCGCTGGTTTGAATAGCTGTGTGCTGTGCTTGTCACTGCAGAAGTGGGAAGTGTCTCTTGACAGAGAAGCAAACCATTGCTGCAGACTTGTGTGCTGGATTTTTTAATAACCTCTTCAGGTTTTATTACTGAAGTACTGGTACACTGCCTTTGTTTTGTGCCACGTATTTATTTTGTTCTACGTTGTGGTGGTGGAACTTTACGACTGTGATAACAAAACATCAGCTGGGAATAAAATGTATGTACCTTCAGGAGGAGCATCTTTTAAATGATACTCCTAATAAAAAAACATTGATCTTTAGTTATGTTTGTGCCACTAATGGAAACATATTTTATATATATTTTTTTTAACATTTCCAATATTTCAGCTGATTTCAAACTGAAATTTTTTTACATTTTCAGATTTAGTAACGTTAAGATAGACCAGATATCAATGTTAAAACTAAACTTGGGAAAACTTAGAAGACGTAAAATGAACTTGCAGCAAACCCAATCAAAGTCAGGAAGACGTGTTCAGTAATAGAATATAGGAAGGTCGTATCTTTATTCCAAAGGAGTAAAAATAAATAAATCAGAGTTTTTAAACAAGAACAAGTTTTGGAACTTTATCCTAATGCTGAATTTTTCACTTTGAGCTTTGTAAAGCCAACTGTTTTGTAACATTGGGATGCTTAGTAAGTGAGCTGCAGAGATTTGCTGGTTATACTTCCAGTTGCAGCACAGGGCTGTCCACAGCTTTTTGAAAGACAAAATATGTAATCCATCAGATAAAGGATGTGAGTGAAGAATTTCAAGTGCTTTAGCCTTAAGTTGATGCAGAAACTCGGAGTTGATCCTTAGGGAAAGGTGCATGTTTATGAAGTTAGGCATCTTAAAGAGTGTGCCTGTGTATCCTATTTAAGTGATTAATTTGATTGTTTTAAGCTAAGATTCATGTAGTGATACAGCAATCGTAGGGGATTTTGAAATCATCTTGCTAATGTATGTATATATATTTATATACATATATAGAGAGATACACTATTATTATTTTCTTTCAAATAATATTAAATATACTTTGCAGTTTTGCTAGCAAAATCTTTCCAGTATGGCTATCTGTTTTTAAGTCAGAGTCCTGAATATTGATCAATTAAATATCTCTCCAGGACTTTCTGGACAGAAGTAATAGCCAAATGTTGGGATTTCTGGACAAATACAGAAAATCCTCTTAAGTTTCTTCAAGTTAAAATAAAAATCTTTCTGGGACAACCTGCATATATCGAGCTATCTAAATGCAGAAAATATTTTCTGCCAACACTGAGTCACCTTAAGTAAGAGATACACATCTACCCTAATTTCCAATGTATCCTGACCAACTGCTGTGGCAAGGGACTTGCTGGCTTGTGTGTACAGCAGTGCTGGACCGGCTGTGTGTGATGACAAATAAATCACGAACTGTGCACTCGGCTGCACGTGGGGCCGCAGTCAGTTCCTCGCTCTGTGCTCTTCACCCTGCCCGTGAGCTACCTCTGGCCAGGCGCCTCCTTCTTCTGTCTCGGTAGTGTTCTCCTGGCATCGAGATCCACGGGCACGCTGTCTTTTTCTGCCTATCACCTGCACTCGGTTCTGTTTCACTGCGACAGGACTGTTCTTGCTGCCTTTTCCTTCCCTCCTGCCTCTCGCTTTCTAAAGAGCATTTGAGTTCTGCAACGTCCTTCTGTTTCAGCAGCTGGGGGCCACTGCCCAAAAGCCTGTATCTGTTGCATATTGTTTTCTAGCAGGAAGACAAGATTGTTTAGCTCGGTCCCTGTATGCTTAAACTCGTCTAATACTGCAGTTGGATCACAAAAATATATTTGTGCTAAAAGGCAAATACTTGACGAGACTGCCAAGTTGAATTTTTCCTCCTGTTTTTGCTGTTGTTTAAAGCTCCTGTATCGAGCTGTTCCAACACAATTTCTGTGTTGATCTTGCCTCTACACACAAAATATCTCTTAATTTCTTTTCCCTTTTTTGAAGCCGTTGCTGGATTATCAGTCTGCCAGAGCAACTGCTTGTTCTGTCTTGATTTTTCCGTAAAAACAGTTACCACTTAGTCCTGTCTCTCTCTATAATGCCCTGTATTAGTTATCATTTAGTGAGTGCAGTTTGCTGTACTGGCCCTCCCTTCAGTGTCACAGCACTCTTCTAATCATTCTTCACCACAAGTCTCTTCTTTCTTCTTTTTCTATTGGCATAATCACAATGTTTGTAACCACTGCTTCAGGTTAGCCCATTTTAATCCACTTAGGATCTTCCTGCTTTAATTACTTCTGCAGCTCTCTCTGATAGTTGTTTGCTAGTCATATCTCAGAGAATCTTTAGGTCTTGGTTCCTTTTACTATTTTATAGTATTAATTCTCTCAAATTATGCCATTCTAGTAGTCTGTGGGTTCTAATTTTTCTGCTACTGTTTGTTATTTCACTGCCCTTGATGGATTTACCTGCTATGTACTTTATTATTTGTGTGAACTCCAGCCTTTAGCATATGTACCTGCAGCTCATTTAATTTCGGTTTCAGTTGCTGGAATCTGTTCTCTGTGTGTAACTGACTACCTCGATTACCATTTCAGTCAACTAGATTGTATTTTTCTCAAGTCACGTGCTTTATTATTTCGTTATCATCTGGACTATACAGAGGTAATCTGAACTGAGAACACCTGAAGCATATAGAAAATGCATGTATGAAGTGGCTTATAGTATTAACATACTAAGTTTTCCTTTGTTGCACACTTACTTTGACTGTAGAACAGCTTGGTTGGTTTTTTCCCTTTTTTTCCTCCTTTCTTGTTGGAAGTGGTTTCACATTCACAGCCCTGAACTAATTTTCATTTTTATAATACAAATCAACATCCTGTCCCCTAGTCCTAAGGTTTATATAACATTTTCAGTTGCAAAATAGTTGAACTGACAGAGGGTACATTATTTTTCCTAACCTATAGCTCACAGAAAAAATGTTAATATGAACTCTTTCTTGTATTATGGCTTTACATCATTTGATTACTGTGTTTTTAATTAAATAATCAGATTACATTTAATAATCCTTGTAGTCTCTCTGTATAAATATTCTGGTTTAGTTTGGGTATTGCTAAGCAACATTAAAGACATGGCTGTCGTATGAAGGGGCTTGTTTGTATTTACTAGAAATGGAACACTTCATGCTTAATTCTAAGGAACAGTGTCACAAACTAGTAGCTGAAATGTTAGGTTGTAAAGGATAGGTATGTTGTAAATTAAGAAACAAGTGGAAAATCTAAAATTTTATTTGGCTTATTTTTAAGTAAACCATCTTTAAGAAAAAAATCTTACATCTTGGAACGATCTGAATTTTATAAGTTTATCCCTAGGATAATAGTATATTTTTTTTTCCTAATGCAACGCAACCATTTTATAAACATTCTAGGTTCCATAATGTGCTTTATTGCCCCAAATTACTATGTTGGGGTTTTTTTTGGTTTTTTAGGTCCTACTCCTGGTAAGAATTCTGATTCTTTGAAGGCCATTCTCTTTGGGACAGTTGACTCTTTTTAAGACTAGAGATATAATAACATAATGTGGGCAGCTTGCTTTGTATAGTACTGCTTCTGCTTTTCCACTGAGGTCAGAGGGTTCCTATATTTTTTCTGTGTCCATTATTAATCCCTTTAGGGAGATGGTGCGACGCTAGAGTGACAGAGTTTTGAAGCAGAGGTGTAAAGTACCAGTTTCATCAAAGAATTGTATATGACAGCCATCCAGTGTTCATTTTTTTTCATTTTAGCCTCTTATAGCAAAGACTTTTCTGTGACTACCCACATTAGGTTTGCTGCCTGTTTTAGACTGAAGCTCTAATGTGACTCTGCATAGAAAGTGTATGTTTGGAATGAAAAATGTTGCTGAGGTTAAATTAAATTATCACCAGTACTGAACAAATTCTCAATGCTTTTTTTTCCCCTAGGTAATTAATAATGCTTGTGCTACTCAAGCCATAGTAAGTGTGTTGTTAAATTGTGCTCATCAAGACATCCATCTAGGAGAGACTTTGTCAGAATTTAAAGAATTTTCACAAAGCTTCGATGCTGCGGTAAGTGCCTACTGTTTTCTGTATTTTAGGTATAACAGTGTTACACCTCTGTCAGCTTATGGTTTAGTTTTGTTTCTTACTTTCAGATGAAGGGTTTGGCACTAAGCAACTCAGAAGTGATTCGACAAGTTCACAACAGTTTTGCCAGGTAACACATGTTTTAAATCTAGGCAAAATTTGGGCAAATTCTTTTTCATCTCAGACTTTTTAAAATTTCCTTTGCAGACAACAGATGTTTGAATTTGATGCAAAGTCTTCAGCAAAAGAAGAAGATGCGTTTCACTTTGTGAGCTATGTTCCTGTTAATGGGCGGCTGTACGAACTAGATGGATTGAGGGAAGGACCGATTGATTTAGGTAATGTAAAATATTTTTTTTGAGCAGCCTTCATTTTAACAATACCTTATTGCAAAAAATTGGTTATATATTATAAGGTCAAATCAAGTTATCTATTAAAATAAAGCATATCTTGAAAGTTTTCTTAATGTGCTCTTCAGGCGTATACTTCCTTGCAGTCATTAATATCGTTTTATTTTCGTTGGTCTGAAAATACAGTTTTATTCTTGCTTCCTCCACGTTTCTTATTATCCCTCCTTTCGTTCACTGGTCAAATGAGCAGGCCACATAATCTAGTGGGCTTTTAATACAGTAATAGTTTTGCTGCAAGAGAGAAGTTTACATAACCCACTTCTTGTAGATGGTTGCTCCCCTTACCTGAGGAAATACGTTGTTGTTCTGAGCTGTGTATAACAAAATTTAGTAAAATTGTGTAATCTTTGTGACTTTACGTACTGATAACATGCAATTCCTTTTGCTGGTATTTTTCCCCATGTCTTCCTTTTTGTGGTATTGTCACACAAGACAATTCCCCTGTCACATTTTCAAAGCTTCCCCCCCTCGCAGGTTGATTATAAACTCTCTATTTTGTTGTTTGTTCCTGCAAGTAGACAGCTGACTCAATATACTTTTTATATGTTATGTGGCTGGTGTTTACACGCTGCCCTCTTTCTTTTTAGATAACAAATGTTTTTCCAATTATGTAAAAATAGCTACTTTTAGCGTAGTTTTATTCTCTCTAGGACTTGTTCTCAGTTTGTGTCTTATAATTTCTCAAGTAGCAGTAGGTGGGCCATCTTGGGTCTTGAAAAGCTCTACAGTACCTATCACGTGTCTTTTTTTTTAAGTCTGATATCATCTCAGTGTGTCCTGCACTTCATTTCCAGAGTGTTTTCTCGACAATTGTATTTATTTTTAGATTGAGTAATGACTTACTGCTAAATCTCATTTTCAGTCTGTCTAGGGAGACTGTGCAGGCTGCAGACTTAACCAGTAACGTGACTTTTATGGTCGCAAGATCATGAGTCCCTTGATTTGTTACAAGGTCTTGAAATTGTTAAAGAGGCATTATGAACTTATGAAATCACCTTTAATTATCATAGAATTATAGAACAGTTTTGAATAGTAGAGACCTTCAAAATCAAGTCCAACCTTTGTTCTAGCCCTATCAACAGCACTAAACTATATACCTCAGCACAACACCCACCTGTCTCTTAAACACCTCCAGAGATGGGGACTCCAACCCTGTCCCTGGGCAGCCTGTTCCAATGGCTGACAACCCTCTCAGTAAAGAAATTCTTCCTAATATCTAAACTGAACCTCCCCTGGAGCAACTTAAGACCATTCCCCCTTGTACTATTGCCAGTATTCTCTCATTTATCTCCAAAGCAAGCTATCATATATCTGTCCCCTCCCTGGAGGTGTTCAAGGCCAAGTTGGACGGAGCCTTGAGTAGCCTGATCTAGTTGAGAGGCGTCCCTGCCCATGACAGGGAGGTTGGACTAGATGACCTCTAAGGTCCCTTCCAGCCTAGGCCATTCTAGGATTCTATGATTCTTGTTTTTTTCTTGTTATCAACAAAATAAACATTAGGTGTTTATGCCCTTAAAATATAGTTTTCTCCATTGCTTGGTCCAGTATGTTATGTAAATATTGTTATTAAGTAACATCTTCCACCTTCTTAAAAAAAATTAAACGAAAAAAAAACCATAAAACCCAAAACCACACACCCAAGTAATTTGAGACTGCAGTTGCTAAGCAAAAATGTGTTGTATGCTCTGAAGTTGCTGCCTAAACCTTAATTACACAGGTCTTGAATTTGTAATACATTTTGCTAAGAAGATTAATATTTTCTTTGTGTTTTTTCTAGGTTCATGCAATCAAGATGACTGGATAAGTGCTGTACGGCCTGTCATAGAAAAGCGTATACAAAAGTAAATGGTTATAACGCTTTAAAATATAATCCATCTTATAAGTTTTAAAATACTTCATATAAGTTTTAAAATTGCTTTGTTTCCTTCAATTCAAGGCTTTTAACTGAATTTGTAAGGAATGATGCTTACATATTGTTTTTATGTGCGTATCACTGTATGACCTCAGAACCCATTGCCCAGCGTGAGCCAAATATGATGATAGCTGAGTTTCAGATATGTTACTCTATGATTAATCAGTTGAGTATCTGTGTAGTGAAGAGAGATCCTACTAGTACTCTGGAAAAGGAAGAGCAAGATTATTAACTCTGCTAGACAGCTGTGGGTCTTGGAAAGTGAAAACTAAGAGTGCCATTACTGTGGATAAAATTTGGGTGTGTGCTTATAAGTGCCTATAATAATTTTAAAATACCAGGTAATAACTATATCTGTGTAGCTGGTACTTAGAGTTTTCCTTAGGTATGTGGCTTGTTTTAGAAATTCAAACTAGAAAACCGTGCTGTAGAAGCTTTCCTATTTCTTACCTCTGACCCCAAGCCACAGCCCCAAATATGTTTAGAAATTAAGTTGATTTTATGCCATTTTTAGAAAACGCTTTTCAAAGTCTTTTACTTGAAGACTTTTTGATAAGCAAAACATTACTACCAAAACAGATTTGGAGAATTTAAAATAGGAGAAGCCTGCTAGTCTAATTGTTGAACATACTTTTTGCATTATATGAGGAGTTCTCCAATGTTTTTTAACAAGTAACAGTGATGGATGGGAAAGTAAAAACTACTTGGGTGCAGCACTCATGCAGTTTTGTTGTCAACTATATAATAGTTTGTTTCTTGGACGCTTTCAGTATTTGAGGCTTTTATGTGATATATGTCTTGGAAGAAGAGGTTATTAGGCGTTATGTATTGGATAGTGTTCATCTGAGGTCTGTTTTTGTTTTGTAGCAATATTGCATCTGTAGCACAACTTAATAGGTCTATTTACTTTTTTTTCCCCAACAAACTGCATTTCCTTCTAATGAAATCAGGAAGGAGATTTTTGAATTATGTTAATTTTGAAATTAAATTTATTGATTTTATTAATTATTAAATACATTCGAAATTAATTTTGCTACTTTTTGTTGGTTTTGTTCCTCATTTAGGTACAGCGAAGGTGAGATAAGGTTTAACTTGATGGCTATTGTATCTGACAGAAAGATGATATATGAGCAGAGGATTGCAGAACTGCAGCAGCAACTTGCAGAGGTAGGCCATGGTATTGAAGTTAATGGAAGAATTCTCTGATAATAGTTCTGTTTGTTATTCACCTTCTCCTTTCCTTGCTTCAAATGGAGTATCACTTAAAAAAAGCAGGGAAGGATTACCTGTCCAGCACAGCGCAGTGCAGTGTGGATGCACTGGTGCAGATCTGGATAGATCTGAGTTAATTTGAGCACTCAGCACGGTATAACCAGGTCATTGTAGCTCGTTTTTGACTAATTTGCTGTGGTAGCAGAACTAGTATCTAGTACTAGTGCATTTCTAGTACCTGAGCTAATCTGCCTGTAACTAAATACAGAAATTCCTTGCATGTTCCTATAACTGTAAGCAGAACACAATCTTTCGGTGATAGAAATACTCTTAAGACAGGACTTGCTTAAAAAACAAATTACAAATGCAGTGATGTCATTCATTTAACCTTTTCTGTTTTGTGGAAGGAGGAGCCTATGGATACAGATCAAAGTAGTAATATGTTAAGTTCTATACAATCAGAAGTTGCAAAATACCAGATGTTAATTGAAGAAGAGAACCAAAAATTAAAAAGATATAAGGTATGTAACCTTTGCTTGTCTGATGAAACTTGGAAAAGTTGTAAGAAAAAGCTTGCTTTTGTCTCTATGGGAGACTGTTGCAATTAATCTGAAGGAATTGAATAAATACTAGAAAGACAATATCACATGAATTCATGTTGCATTCCTGAATTTACAGGTTAATTACCAGTTATGCTTCCTTTTAGCATAAGGCTTACAAGTAAGTTTGTAATGATTGCTGTAGCTCCCTTTGTTTTGCCACTACTTCGTGCATTTCTCACTTTAAAATATTTTTCTAAGCACAGCATGTTCTAGAACTCCTACAAAGAAATAGCTCTGTGTGCCCCAGGAGGCGATCAAGCTTTCCTTGCTGGAGTTGCTAGTGTAGTGGTTGGACCCTGGCCAGCAGCCAGGTACCCACACAGCCGCTCTCTCCTTCCCCTCTTCTCCACTATACTGGGGGAGAAAATATTTCAAAGGGCTTAAAGTTTGAGATAAGGACAGGGAGATCACTTTCATTTACAGTCCTGGGCAAAACAGACTCGATTTTTGGGGAAATTTAATTACATTTATTAAGAGAACAAATCAGAGAGGAGTAGTGAGAAGTAAGAAAAACCAAGCAGATCTTAAAAACAGAACGCCTTCCTCCCATTCCTCCCTTCTTCCGGGGCTTAACATCAATCCCAATTTCTCCACCTCCTGCCCCTGAGCAGCACAGGGGGACAGGGAAGGGGCATTATGGTCAGTTCAACCGATGTTGGTTCCACCGCTTCTTCACTCTG